AAACATAGATCCAAGGTTTCTAGGGTTGCATGTACACCATATGAGTGTTAGAATGCTGAAAACCCATCATTAAGAAGTTGAGTTAAGCACTTAATGGGCATGTAAAGTCATAAAGTTGGAAACTTTATGACTCTTGAGTGTATTTTAGCCATGGATCTGAAATATGAACGTAAGTGCTTAAGCCATTAAGTACTTAATGAGTTTTGAAGTTCCTGGGAGTACGCCCCGCATACTAGGAGTACGCCCTACGTACGAGGTCAACCACCCCGATGGTGGTCAATGTGCGAGGAGGCGAGTATGCCTAGCGTACCTTCAGAGTACGCCCCGACTACTCATTCTGAGGAGACTCAGATGTGTTGACTCGGTTGGGTTGACTCAGTGGGTTTGACCAGTTTGACTTTGACTTTGACCAAGTTTGACTTAAGGGTATTTTGGGATTTCGATTATGATTGGTCATTTGGTTGGCTATGTGATAGTTTGAGCTGATATTCGGAGTCGAGACCTCATCAGCTACTGTTCAGTCTGTGAGGTCAGTTTTCCTCACTGTACTTGCGGGTCGAAAGCACCAAGGCCGGCCCATTGGTTTGATATTCATTGATATGATGAGTATAGAATAGATATGCATGATTATGCTAGTCTGGTAGATATGTAGGACTACCTGTGATTTTGTTTGCATGATTATTTGTATATGTTATTATCTGGTATATGTCAACACATTGTGTTGGGTTGAGGTTGTACTGCTCCGTGCAGTAGCCAACAAACCATGGAGCATTCCAGATATGATCTGAGGGCCGGGTAGGGCATGTCAGACTCATCTGGAGGGCTCATGATCATTCCAGATACGAGCTGAGGACTGGGCGGTATGTCAGACTCGTACTGAGGGCTTGATGGTATTTCAGTCGACTGATCTAGTCAGGGAGCAAGCCATACATAAGTTGTGGGCACCGAGGGCAAGCCAGACTTATGTTCTGGGCTTAGGGGTAATCCAGTCTTTTAGATGTGGACCCATTGCATGTTGTTATTGTATATGCTATTTGGTTATGTGTTGGTACTTTGGGGGAACTCACTAAGCATTGACTTACAATTTTGGGTTATGTTTCAGGTACTTCGGATGATCGCGGGAAGGCGAAGGCGTGACCGTACACATCCTCTGGATTATGATCTATGATTTTGGGAAACTCTGATGTCAGAAATGTTTTAAAAACTATTGTTGTAGACACTTTATGGATTTGGGTTGTATTTTAAAAGTTTATAATTGTCATGATTTTTATGGATGTTACACTTTGTGTTGAAGACCATTTTTTGTATGCATTGTATGTATATTGTTATGTGTGATAGTTTGGGAAACTTACTAAGTTTTGAGTTAGAGTTGTGGATTAAATGTTTTTCAGGTATTTTATCAAATCGTGGGAATGACGAAGGCGCGACTGTGCACATACATCAACAGTTTTATGATTTAAGATTTTGCGATACTTTTTTTTTATAACTATGATTTTGGATTATGGTTTATGAACATATAATTTTGACTTAATATATCTTTATGAAAATGAGTGTTTATTCTAAATTAAAAATGTATTCTGAAAATTGGGACATTACATCTATCTACTAACGTCGTCCTCCATGTGTCTAAATGAGCATTCAAGTTAGTCCTAGACTGAGCAACCAACACAATATCAGCTGCAAAAAGCATACACCTCCCCTGGAGAGTAACCTAAAAATTTCATATATATTTTACATGATGATTGGTATCAGAGTAGAAGGCCCGCACCCCGTGGCTTAATATATCATTGTTTATTCTTATCGAGCCTCCATCTATAAAGAAGTGTTAGTGTATCGATATTGATGCGATACGATCTTATATAAATATCTATGTATGTGTATTGTAATCTCTTAATATAAGCTCTTTTGAAGAGTACCCTAAAAACTTCATACATACCTTAAATAATTAAATGTACATTTACGACCAAGCGTTTTGCAAACAAATATACATTAATTATCATAATATATTTATAGTTTCGGTAAACAATTATCAAATAAAATAATAAAAAAAATACTATTTTTATCTTTTAATCATTGTATCTATATTATTGTAATCTACTTCAAGAATCACATGCTCAACATGTTCAACTTGCTTTCAAAAGAATATATAATTATTTGGTAAGTTATAATAAATTTTGATTTCTTGATTATGTTTCTATTTATTTTTTGATAATACACTATGGCAACATCTAAGTTTGGTTTGTTCAAAATGAACATTTTAAATCATATTTTTTAGATATAATATTATATAAATAAAAGTATAAATGTTAAAAAAAACTTCATTTATACTTGAAATCGTTTTGGGGTTCCATTTGATCTTAGAATTACCAAACCGAAAATCAAATACAACGTCAACATAGACAAACCAAAAGTCAAAAATCAAATTCGAATTCTTAGTTCGAAACAGAATTGGAACGAGTCGCTTTCGATCTTTTCAATTTAACTCAAATATTAAAAATACTTATATATTAATTCCAAAACGCACAAACATCCCTATGATATAAAAAAAAATCATATGATGGAAACGTACTACTTTTCTAATTTCTATTGAATCTTTTGTCCCCTTACATTTTGATTCCCCATTTCTACTTTAGAAATTGAAATTTTTGGGTGATTTAAATTTTCCGTATCAAAAAACATAATAACAAAAAAAAAAAAAAAAATCTAAATACACCTCATGAATAAGAAACAAGAAAATGTGTGTATAATATCAAGTTGCCAAGCAAGTTTCCCAGAATTTTCTATCAATCTCTCTTTGATTCGAAGAATCGACACAGAATTTACTAGATCCGTTCTGTTGCATAGACAGATCCATCATATTGCTCTCACCCCAATTATTCGTATCATCATCATCATCTTCATCAAAATCGTCATGGATAAATCCTTGAGTTTGATCATGATGGGTATTAGCATAACTTGTGTTAATATAAGATGAATGATCATAACTGCAAGATTGAGCATCATCATCCTCATCATCCCCATCATCGAATCGGAACAATACACCTTCAGATTCATCCATGGCTGCTTCTTCATCAGCACCTGCTTTGACTTCTTCTGAATCGCCAGTTGACTCGAATAGCAAAAAGGGTGTCACATCTATCATAGCATTCTTTCCATTCAGACACTGATTCCACTCCATCTCTCTCTAGACCTCTCTTTGTAAATACGTATGTCCTTTTTCCAAGATCGTCTATATATAATGGTATATATATGTATATAGAGAAAGAGAGAGACATGGAAACGTGTGATGTGGGTGTTG